GGGCAGCCCACCCCGCGGGCGCGCCTCTCTGCAGTCCAGCGCCGCCCGGCCAGGGACCCGCTCGCTCAGACTTCTCCGCCCGGCTGAAGACGCCGGCGGCTCGGGGCCGCCCCAGTGCTTGCCTTCTGTGGAGGCTCAGCCCACCGACCCCGCCCCGGTGCCGGGGTCGGCACAGGCATCTAGCCCGCTTCTGATCGCGGAGTTTCAGCCCCAGGGAGCTTCCCGGCCGTCGACGGACCCCGCGGCCCGCGCGCTAGACGCTCTGCTCGTGGGGCAGAGGGAAGCCGGCAACTGGCTGGGGATGGGCTACCCGGCTGCGTTAAAGGGCGCTGGGGGGCTCCGCGCGCTCCTCCTGGCGCTGGTGGCCGCAGGGATACCCGCCGGCGCCTACAACCTCGACCCGCAACGTCCCGTGCGCTTCCAAGGCCCCGCCGGCTCCTTCTTCGGCTACGCGGTGCTGGAGCATTTCCACGACAACACGCGCTGGTAAGTGCCCTCTCAACTCCCCGATCCTGGCCCGGCCACCGCCCCGGCCCCGGGGCTAGCCGCCGCCGCCGCCTTTCCGGCCTCTTTCACGCCGCCGTCCCGAGGGAGCGATTTAAATGTCTCAGCTGCGAGCTGCTCGGCTGCCCCGGGAAGGCGGGAGGGAGGACGCCTCTCCCGGGCCCCGGGGAGGTCCTGGTCAGCGCCTGAAGGTGGAGGGGACCGGACCGGACGTTTCTCCTGAGGTCTCAGCTCGGACTGTGCGGGGAGAACCGCTGGTGTTGCCTCCTCGGCCTACCAGCTAGACTTAACTCTCTGGATTGCAAAGTAACTTGGTTCGTCTGCTACGGAGGGGATGCCTGAGCGACCGTCCCGAACCTCTCAGGGCCTCGAGATGCTTCCCTTCCTCCCAGTTTTGGGGGAAATCCTGGGGATGATTTCAAGCCTTTCTAGTGCTGCTGTTCAAGGGAGCGGCAGTCTCCAGGGACTGGTTATCTAGATACGAAGGGCACATTGGAGCCCAGAGGTCCCCCTCTGACCCCACAAGACCTTGGGCAGAATCCGTGGGGAGCGAGACTCCGAGCTATGGGGAAGGAAGGTAGAGAAGGAAGGTAGGGGAAGACCCCGGGTGACAAGGCCGGTAGGGTTGGTGGATGTTTCTTGGGGTAGCTTGAGCCTCATCTTGCATGGGCCATTGACCTAGAGATGAGCACCAAAGCCTCAGGAAAGGGACTTGATTCTGTAAAGTTCAAGGAGTTGTTTATCTCCCTGAGTTTGAGTCGTGGGCCTGAAGAAGAATGGAATCTCTCTCCCATGAAGCACCATCAGCTAAGTGGTACAGATTTTGAGTACCCAACCCCAGAGAAGAAGCACCAATGAGAGCTTGGTGCCCTCCTCGACCACTTTCCCTGGACCAGAGGGAATAAAACAACCACACAGTGGTCACTTCTTCATAGGAGACAGAGTTAGGTTGTGGGTAATTCCCCTGTTCCAGGTCATGCCTCAGTGGGGGCCAGGTGACAGGTAGTTGGGGTTGATTTTAGTGTGTAATCACCAGAGTGAGCATCCTTATTGCACTGGGCTGGGAGGTGGAGGTCAGTGATGCCTGTGTGCTGAGCATGTAGTTATGTGAGAGTCACTGCACTGCATTTGACAGTGGCTGATGGAAGAGGGTGGTTTGTGGATCCAAGTACTCAAGCATTCCTGGAAAAGGGAACTCTGTGACCTGCCAGCCTATTAACAATCATGCTTTTAGGAGAGCTGCCTCCAAGAAAACCAATTTTCAAGACCTTATGTGTCTCTCTTCCTTTTGCATATCCCTCCTGAACATTTACTACAGTTGCTGAGTTGAAGACCAGACTGTCTCTTCTTGCATTTGTTAAATCCCCCTTTTAAAACAAAGCAGTCTGAACACCTTCTCTATGTCCTCCAGACTCAGGGTGCCCCGCGGGCTCTGGATTTGATACAGATGCAGCCTGAGCAGAAGAAGCTGGAGAATGCATCCCAGAATCCCACACTGGACTCCCAGACCGTGTGACCTTGGCACCAAGCACATGGCAAGAGATGTCAAAAATAGAAGGGCTGCTCGGGGTAGGGGGCTGCTGAGGAAAGGCAGGCTAGCAGCTGAGCTAGCTAGAGCATTGTGTGCCCTCTGCAGCTGAGCCTGGCTCATGTGTCCTGCACTCTTTGATGGCTAGAGGGAGAGGTGCCAGGCCCATGTCACCTAGATTTGGATGGACCACAGGTCCAAGCCACCCCAGCTGGGAAATAACTGTCCAGAACAGATATGACAGAGAAAATGATGTATTCAGCCTGATGTGTTTTCAAAAGGGGATAAAGAAAAGCTGTATTATGTGAATAGCTTTGGCAAATGTAGGAAAAGATGGTCTGACCTTAAACTTGGAACCCAGAGGGAATGGTAGGAAGGGGTCTGGAACTGGAGGGTAGTGCTGGTGCACAGCCTTGTTGCTGGGAGCGATGTGGGTCAGGGATTTCAGGGATGCATGGGAAGCTGTGCAGCTGGTCTCAACAGTCCCTTCTCTTGTTCTGATAAAAGTCAGCTGCTTTTTCTGTTGGAGTTCTTGTCCCTGTAGTTTTTCAGGTACCAACTAAAATCTACTGAAATATTTTAGAAGCAAATCTTCTGTCCTTCCCAACACCCCCCCGCCACATTGCCTTATTTTTTTTGTAGCTTTTGCTTCTCTTCTCAATTTCTATTTTCTTGCTGCTTTTTAAAAAGTGTTTTCCTCCCCATCTTTTTTCTCTCTTCCTCTGCCCCTCTCCAATATTTTTGCCTTAGACCTTAAATGTATTCTCTGCTGATTATGCTACCCAGTCTAGGTGGGCTGTGACTTCCAACATCTCCTTTCTCCTTTTTTCCTTTCTCTAAAGGTCAGACTTACTGTGAGCCTGATGAAAGTTAGCCAAAGTCTTCTCACTTGCACAGGCACCTACCAAGGCTTAGGTCTTGTGAAATCTGGATCTATCTTAGGTCTGTACCTTAACTTTTAACTCTGGTTGGTTGGTTGACTTAGTGACTGATTGTCAGTCACTTATTACTAGACAATACCTGAGCCCTGGATCTTCTAGATCTGCTTGAGGGAGATGGAGGTCATTCCCAATTGTTCACAGTTATGAACAACAGCCCGGGTAAACAACTTTTTGACTAAATCCTTGTGCACATCCTTATTTCCTTTGAATAAATGCCTGGGCTTACAATTTCTGGGTCAGAGAGGATGGAGGTTTTAAGGCATTCTCTATGTATTACTAAAGTGTCAGTGAAGTGTGTGTACTTTAGAGAAATGAATTAATTTATTCAGGCACTGGACTTTTGACGTAGTTTTACAAAGGGCTGCTGTAGTGCAATGAAAGAACATAGAATCTACGTGAACATAGAATTTAGAACATCTAGAATCTAGAACATAGAATCTACATCTACTTTTTAAGTCACCCTACATGGGGGGAGAGGTATGGAACAGGGATTTCAGGGGTGCATGGGAAGCTGTGTAGCTGGTCTCAACAGTCCCCTCTCTTGTACAAGTCAGCTGCTTTTGGATGGGCTGCCCTACATGGGGTGACTTAAAAAGATCACAAGTGCTAGTTAAAATAGGTGAGGAAGGTAAAGGATATAGACATGGAAAGGAAAAGTGGTATATTGAAACTTTGAAAGGAAAAGGAGGGCAGTTGTCATTTAAGACTTGTATCTTGTGACTTTCTTCTTGAAGGAATTATTCTTTAGTTTCTTAATTCTGCATTTTGCGGTTTAAGGTGTTTGCTTCATGCTAATTAACCACCTACTAAATAGGATGTAGTGTATATATATAGGGTAAGAGAGAAGAATGTGCTGGAAGTGGCAGGGGGAGAGCCCAGATACCAAGGTCAATGTGGACTCTGGAGGTGGCAGAGCTGAGGGTTTCCCCAGGTGCAATTCACAAAGCACATGCTGGTAGAACCAGCACTTCTTTATTCCCATAGCAGAGCACTTCTGTCAATTCTTTAATAAACCAAAATTGGCCCTGGCAATGAGTCCTAGATCTCTATGTAAGACATGGGGCTATTGTGCTTAGTAAGCCCTGGTGAATGAATCCAGCTGTATACCATGTCCACTCAGAGAGAGCTCCAGACCCAGGTTTTCTCAAAGTGCTTGAGTGGTCTCTCTGTCACCGTGTTCTGGGCAGTAAGAATTGTCCCTGTGGTTAGGTGGACTAGAATGTCCTGGGAAGTGTTTCAGATGACATTTGCATCAATTTGGATGTAAACATACAAGTGACTCAATTTTCTTTCTTTTTCTAGTAACACCCAGAGAACGTCTATTTCCTCTCCTATACCTCCCACCCCCCAAATCTTCTGGCGTCTTTTGAATAACAGTAGTAGGTGCCAAGGAACGTGGACAAAGTGGATTTCTGTCCTCTTCACTTAGACATGGACTAGTTGCTCAGCTGCACCGCTGACAGTTCTAACACCCTGTGATATAAATAAATGTAGCCCGGCTGGCGTCCAGCCCCAGTGTGGGCATCTTCCACACCCCTCCCTTCCCCTTCCCCTCCTCCTCTGCCCCAGACGCCCTGGAGTCCAAAGTGGTTGGGTGCACTGGCTTCCTTTCTGGCGACGTGCTTCCTGCCCCCTCTCCTAGGATGCATCAAGGCGGCTGTGCTTAGGCACAGAGGCAAGTGATCGGAAACGGAAGATGCACTTGGCTTTTTGCTTTGTTAGAGGTTGTCAGAGCATCATTTATTGAGGAATAGGAGGCAATTCAGAGCCACAGAGAGCATAGCATCCTTGATTTGCTTTAAGATCGAAAATTAAAAGAACAAGCTAGACAGTTCCGGGGAGCTGCCCAGTGCTGTCACCACTAGTCAGATGTATTGCTGTTTAAATCGAAATTAAGTCAAACCAAGTACAATTAAGAATTCAAAATTTCAGTTGTACTTGCCACATTTCAAGGGCTCAAAAGCCACATGGGGCAAGTGGCTACTGTACTGGACAGTGCACAGAGAGAACATTTTCATCATCACAGAAAGCTTTAGACAGCATCAGTTTAGAACAATGACTTAAGTCTGAAAGAGCTAGACAAGAATTAAAAGGACACACAATGGAAAGAGACAGCCCTTAGCTTGTTTGAGTATTAACACTGAAACAGGGGTGCTTACATCTAACTAAAAATTGTAGACTCTGAAGAGGTTGAATTGTCCTTTCATTCATAACACATGGGAGGGCCGGCTCTGTGCTAGGGGATAGGGATTCAAGAATGAAAAATCTGCTCAGGATCTGATGGCTGAGAAAATTATAGGGTTCTATCTTGTGTCTTGGGCAAAGTATTATATATGTTATAGGCCTATGTATGCTGTAGGCTCTGACTGGGGAGAGGCTTGCTGGGCAGGCATGGGTTATTCAGAGGGGCAGAGGAGACACTCCTGTGAAGTGAAGAGGTTTAGAAGGGGAGCCCTGGGATCATGGCCCTGCTGTCTCCAATCCTACCAATCTCGATGAGGAAACACTCAGAA